TTGTTGTGCAATCAAGACCTAGAATTCTTTTCGTCTTCAAAACTAAAACCCTGTATTTATCAATTTCCTATTGCTCCCTACTCCAAGTCCCTGGAAGCCATCATTCTATTTTCTGTCTTTACAAATATTGTTTCTTTTTAATAACATTCTATCCCTACTTTTTTATATATGTATATCTCTTATTCTTTGAGGATATTAGAGTTTGTTTTGTTTTAGGTTTTCTTCTACTCCTTGTGTCTTTTTATTCCTCTAAGTTCCTTCTGGTGAGATAATAGAAAATATATATTGGTCTCTGCCCCCAGTTCCTGGCACAGAATGCCTGAAACCCTTGTAATTGTCTCAGTAATATGAGAGCGATAGGAGCATCTTTTGTTCTAAAATGTAGTCTTTAACCCCAGTTCCAGAAACAGGGCTCCTGATACCCTTGTAACTTCCTGGGTGATAGTAGTGTCTTTTGTTATAATGAGGCAACTCTTAGTGGGGTCCTGGATGAGGGCTGGTCACTGGGAAGCCATGATTAGAAGCTTAGACTTTTCAGCCCCACCCTCACCTCCATTCTCTTAAGAAGGGAAAAAAGGGCTGAACGTGGAGCTGCTGACCAACCAATCATGTCTAAGTAACGAAGCCTCCATAAAATTCCCAAACTACAGTGTTCAGAGAGCTTCCAGGTTGGTGGACACAGTCACGTGTAGAGAGGGTGACATACCCCCAACTCCACTGGGACAGAAGCTTCTGCACTCTGGATCCTCCCAGACCTCACCCTATGTATCTCTTATCTGTAGCTTTAATAAACTGGTAAACATAAGTGTTTCCTTGAGTCCTGTGAGCTGATCTAACAAATTAATTATACCCAAGGAAGGGGTCACTGGAACCTCTGATCTATAACCAGTCGGTCAGAAGCAATGAACTTTCAACTGGTGTCTGAAGTGGGGTGGGGGGCAATCTTGAGGGACTGAGCCCTTAACCTGTAGGATCTGACGCTATCACTGTCTTCAGATAGAGTGTCCAAATTGAGTTAAATTGTAGGACATCCAGGTGGTGGTGTGGAGAATTGCTTGGTGTGGGGTAAAACCCCCATACATTTGGTGACCGGAAGTGTCCTAAGAGAAGTATTCTGTGTGAACAGTAAAAGAGCCACACAGAGAAAGACTCACGAGGAAAGAAATGCCCAGGTAGAAAGACTGTAGGTTTTTCTTATTCATGTCTCTTTTATTTTTATTCATTTTCTTTTGGTTTGTGTATCTATCTTTCACGTTGGATACTGCCTCAAATACCTATTGATCTTCAGCTATCTCTTTACATAAAAAGTGAGATACTAGAAAGCTGTTTAGCAAATTTTGGAGCATTGGTAAGACTTGCTGTCTGGTGGGATGCACTGAAGCATGACCGAGCAGATTAATATTGGATTCGCTGAGATAATTTCCAAATGATCGCACCCGTACATTTTTTTTTTTTCTCTGAGGCCAGGGAAGAATGCTTCGATTTCATGCTCAGACTGTGGGAGTCAAGGTAGTGAATACCTGGCTGCCAGACTTCTAGAACCTGGACATAAGAAGGAAGCTGGAGGTTTACTATACAATGTGCACACTTTCACATAACCCCCATGTTTTCCGTCCAGCTCTTTGCTCAATCTCAGTTATACTCAGAGTTCACGATTTTATAACTTTTTTGCCTTAATTTTTCCCAGAATAAACCTTCCATCCCTGTAATGACATGAGAGAAGCAATTGCCTGCCTGGGTGGTATGCTGCGTGTCAAAGCTTCTTAATCAACATTCAAATAACTGCTTTCAGTCTCAAGCCTCATTCTGCTTTCTGAATTTCTAAGCATCCTGGCACTCTTCTGGGTGAAGTAGCTTGTTTCTCATCAGTATTCTCTTCTATAAGCATTCAGTTTTCCTTCTATGAGTTGTTTTTCACCTCTCCATCTACTGTTTGACCTCAGCGATTATAATTTGGATTCACAAGGTCTTGATCCAGCTGTGTGGGGTCTGGATAAACAGAAACCACCTAGCTGCTCAGGGAAATTAGTTCTAGGTTTCATTAGGAAAGAAAGGTGACATAAGACTACTCCCTCGATTGAGATAAAATGACAGGAAAAAAGTTATCACAAATAAGCTCTGGCCAGGGGAAAAGAAAAACAAGACAAAAAAAACTATATTATAAAATACATAATACAATATTGAACCAAATTAAATTAACTGTGAGAATAATGAATCCATAAATGCCAAGGGTTAAATTGTATTCCTGTGTATTGCTGTCTGTTTTCATAAGAGTCCAGTATATAAAATGTCTAATATTTAATGAATTATATAACTGAGTTCTGATGTATCAGTGCCAGCACTGACAAGAGATCTTTTCTAGTCGCACCGATCAATTTCTAAACACTTCTAAAGAAGAAAAACTCGCAGTTAAGAAAAAACAATTTGCCGATTTTCAATAACAATTTGATAATTTTTGAAACCGAAATGGACAATTCTTTAAGAAAGCTGTAAAGTGATTGTGACGAGAACCCTTTTCAACTTCAAGTGACCATGTGAGTGAGGCCAAGAGTGAGGCAATCTAGAAGAGAAGGGACTGTGACACTCTGGGGAACATGCTCCTTTAAGTGGTCAGATGCTACTCAGTTCCAGGTTGCTGTCGTGTGGGAACAAGGGCCCAGAGAAGCTAGATCTTCCAACATTTCGAAATAAGCCAAAAGTTTGGATTTTAAAATGTGACATTGCATTTTTTAAATGTTGATACTAACTTAAGGAAAGAAAGGAACAAAAAACCATGTGCTTCAAATAAAACACCTTGGCAGACTATATTCAACTCACACACTACCAGTTTGTGACTACTTACTGAGACTATCAAATTCTCTCTTATCCACAAGGGGCTTTTTTTCTCTGCCCAAGAGGATGCATTACAGCTGGTCCTGGACATAAACGGGTACCACTGATGCGGTGTACTTGCCGTATTCTTTTGATTCCCATCAAAGGAATGTAAGACAATCACTAACATGGCCTCATCTTCTTACCCCGTCTTCTCAAAATACACCTTGGAGTTCTGCTTTTCACCATGCCAGGTGATCATAATATATGTTATAGGTAATTGTATAAGTAATAAAATAAAAACTAATAACTCAAAGGATTTAAAGAGTATCTTTCTGCCAAGGTTGCTATAGTACTCTTCATGTGTATCACACACGTATACAAAACAGTTAGTGGAAAATGATTATTCTTCCTTTACAAATGAAGGTAACCTAAAGTGGCATAATGAAGGTGATTCTAAAATCAAAGTGTTCATTCATTTCATTTGTAACTGACTTCTTAAAGACTGAGAGGTGTATCTTGTTCAAAACGGAATTTTATGTGTCATGCTATCTGATGTAACCTGTCTGGTAAGTTTGTTTGGACAACCTAATTCAGCTTTATTTGACAGGGAACCTAGAATGGAGGATGAATCTGGGTATTCTGTACAAGTTGAGGTAATACCCTGATGTATTTCAGGGGATTCTGGGTATAATAAGAAAGAGATATTTGCAAGTCCTTGAGGGGCTAGGGAAGAAAAGCAAGGACTGTCTGCACTGAACCTTAAAGTGGACAGGAACTAGGTGTCTTCAAGGTTCATAAGTTGCCCAGCTGTAAGTTCATCTGAGTAGCAGAACTGACAAGTATTTGAGGTCAAAACCCTACCATGTATTAGAAAATTACCATGTTAATAAAAGTATTCACTTGCTTGGGGGGAAAAAAAAAAGACTAACTGTATAAGAATGTCCCTGCTAACAGCAAGCAGAGCATGCTTTATACTTTATGAATGGGCTTTTTTTTCCTTGCACAAAGTATAAATGGTTAGTAAATATCCATTGTTCTGCTTTGACTTATTATGTTACTCTACGGCACTAACAACTGAATTCTATGTAAGGATGCTCCCAACAGGCAGAGGATGCTTGCTGACTGGCTGAATACATCTGTCAACACATCTGCCCAAAACTGACTGTGTTATTTCTTGGTTTCCTTAACTGTACAATGAAACCAGAGATTTTCACATCTTTTAGCAGCAGATTCTCTTACAAGTAAAGTTTTATGTAAAACTCTAAGATACAAAACAGATAAAAGTGGAACTAGTTAAAGGTGGGAAGGGTGAGTCCAAGAACTACAAATTTTAGCCTTCCCTTTCCTTTTTTTCACTTTTCTGCTTCACTCCCTCCTCTTTCTTCACCCACTTCCCACTCCCTGCCCCCACCGTGGAAGACCTTCAGGCGTCTCTTAGGATAGTTCTGTTTAGAGTTTGTAACTACTTGACTAAGTTGTCTTTAATTTCTTTTTCCTTTTAACTTGATTATTCCTTAAGTCTATTCTAGGTAACATGATGAGCAAACCTGTATCTAGACTGTCTACTCTAATGACCAGTCTATTTTCATCTTCTTTCCTCTTATGCAACATAAAGAAGCTCAACCTTTGACTGGTTTTAATCTTTATAATTTAAAATTACCTGTTCAGTAAGTTTTGCAACACTCTTTGAGCAATAAAAAAAATGTTGTTCTCAAGTAATACAGTCAACTCCTATATAGATATACTTAATAGATATAGATATCAGTACAATAGAACTATATATTATAGACAACACATAATAGTTACGATTCCTTTGCAAAAAGTTTTAAATCTGTACTGTTTAATTGCTTCTGCCTTGGGTGGTTAAAAACAAGAGCTCATTTATTAAAACCAAATGTCACCTGAGGCCACCTTATCTCTATACTTAAGGAAAAAATGCGTTTAAAAATGATTGTGAGCAATAAAACAATCATTAGAAAACTTCTTGAATAACACAGGTCAATCTACTTATGTGACACAGGTGACTATAAGTCACAGTGTCCTCAATTACTGCACTGCATATTTAAAAGAAATGTTTTACATTACAAAAGAAAACCCCTACTATTTCTACAAATTATGTCTCAAATCTAAGAACAAAGAACATAAAGTCATAAAGTTTTCTTTCAACATAGTAATTGGCAATCTACCTGAAAGATCCTGAAATTCAGGCTTTTGACTGAAGATGAGGTAGTTAGTGGCAATGAAATGAAGCAGCCAGGTTGAAAGGCAATCAGAGTGGTGAAACTGCAAGAAAAATGGAAAGTAAAACAATATTGTACATAATGACCAGCAATATGATGATTAGATCAGAGAGAACTCATGGACGGCCCAAATCCATGTTTAATGTGTCTGTACACGATGTTGCCTTCAGCCTACTCTGACAACAGAAAGGAAAGAGGAGCATTAATAACAAATAATAATAAAATTGCATCAATGAAGAAACTGAATCAAGTGAGTAACAAGCCACCGCTGCTGGAGTGGCTGAATGTCTTTAAGCAGATAAGTGGTTGCATCTCTAACAAATACTATTTGAGGTTCTTGGGGACTTAGTTTAAGCTTTTAATCTAAGGTCATGGTGTTCACTAACCTCACTTCTATCTGTGTAGCAGAGATAGGATTATGGTTAGCAAACGTATATACTTGGTCAAATCTAAACAAATTCACCTGAGGAGCAAACCAAAAATTATTTTGAGGAAGAAATGTCATCAGCCTAAGGGTACAGGCTGCAATGTGTAAATATTTCTATGGGAAGAGTTGCTTTTATCTCAGATGTACTGTTATGCTGAAGAGGATTTCCAGCACATTTCTCATTCTGAGTTCCGACAGCTAATGAAGGGGTATCTCAGAGCAACACGGCCACGACATCGCCGTCTTGGTGCCAATCAGTGTATTCTCTGATCCACCTGACCGCTCAATTCAGATTACAACAACTTGCTGGCAGGCAACTTTGGTACACGAGTGTAGTTCTTTTTTTTTATCATTGTGATAAAATATATATAACCATCTTTAAGTGTACAGATCAGTGGCGTTGAGTACATTCACATTATTGTGCAACCATCACCACTATCTATTTTCAGAACTTTATTTTATCATTCCAAACTGAAACTTTTTATCCATTAAATAACTCTCCTTTACCTCCTACCCCAAGTCTCTGGTAACCACTATTTTATTTTACCTCTATGAATTTGACTATTCCAGGTACCTCATATGAGTTGAATTATACAGTATTTGTCCTTTATCTAACTGGCTTATTTTACTTAGCATAATGCCTTCGAGGTTCATCCATGTCGCAACATGTATTAAAATTTCATCCTTTTAAGGCTCAGTAATATTCCATTGTATGTATAGAGATTTTGTTTATCCATTCATCTGCTGATGGGCATTTAGGTTGTTTCTACCTTTGGGCTAACTATAGCTCTTTTAATGACATCTCAAAAATATTATATGAGAAACATCCTAAAATAAATGACAGAATAAAAAAGAAAGGCATTAAAGAAAACCATAAAGCCAAATAACTCTGTAAAGAATAATGATAGTGGAGAAAGTACCCAGAAACTCACCAGGAAAAGATTAGAAACAAAATGGGTGGCCTGACGCAGCCAAATATTAATGCACAGATTATAAGAAGTTGAGTTTAAAACTTTAATATGAGAGTAAGTAGAACTTCATAGGAATCATGAGTTTGGCTAGACAGGGCTTAAAGGGGAGTAGAGATAAGGAAATCTCTACCTCAATCTGAACAAACTGATCTGATTAAGAGAAAGAAGCCTCTGTTACAGGTCAGGAGTTCAACCTGATGGAAATACACAAATCTAAAGGTAGAATCAAGGTAAAAAATTGAGATAGGTTAGGGGAAAGTGAGAGAATACCAAAACTCCTCATATATATTGAACGTATGAATGATACTTTCCTGATACACAACACAAAACTGGTAGAAATGATAGAAGGATTGGAAATTTCAATTATTCAGAGAGCTACTGGAAGTCTACATCCGCTAAAAGACAATTTCACCTCCTAGAAATCAGAGAAAAAGTGAGGAAATGGTTAACTAAATTCTGACCACAGGACGAACTGGCTGGTATACTATAAAGCTAGAAACTTCAAAGAAAACTTGGGGAGAAAATTATCCTGTTATCTAGGAACCATAATTGCCAAATTAGGAACCACCAGGATTAAAACAGAGAAAAACTGGTAAATGCAGGCTTCATCCCAGCAAATAGAAAAGTCTTCAAAAAAACCCAGCAGAATTAAAAAAGTGTTATCTTAGACTTTTATAATTCAAGGAAAAAAGAGCAATAATCACATAGTCAGAAACCACACTCAGGGAAAACGGGTCAGGAAGAGTTTCTGATAATGCAAACATAAATGACGCTATGAGGAACAGTGTGTATGTGTGTGTGTGTGGAGTGTGTGGAGTGTGTGGGTGCGTGGGTGTTTGGGAGGGGAGGAACCAAAAGAAATTAGAGCAACCATACAGGAAGTTCTCTTACGCACGAACTATTTAAAAGGATACTACAAGATAAGGAAAGATAAGCTGTGCCCATTTTTTAAACAAGATTGACAGACTTGTTAGCATAGTATGAAAATGATACATCAAAAATGAACTGAGGTTGTGAAAATGCTAGAAAGAATAAAAAAGAATTTTTAAATTAAATCTAGAGGGTAGCTATTTATCTCAAGCTCAATGTAAATGTATTACAGGGTTACTGGATTTTTTAAATTTGTTTTTATTCCTAATATTAAATATATGTGATCTTAAGACTTGTTTATGAGACATGAACTCCAACATAGTTAAGAAGATAGTAAGAGATGACCTAGATGCTTTAAGTGAGCTCCCACCTATGCACAGAAATATATATGTCAATTAATGAATTCATCTCAGCCTGGACGCCAGGTTTTAGCTGTTACAGAGTCAGTCCTTTGCCCCACTATCTGGCTCTATTTCAACAACTTGGATGAAGACAGACTTGTCACATATTTTAAATCTGGATGCCAAAATTGATAGGGTTAACCAATAGGTTATATGCCAGGTAACATTTTACATAGTTCTGATAGTCTGTAACGATGGATCAAATATATTCCTGTGAAAAGACCTAGGAAGGTTCAACTGACGACAAGTTCAGTACATCTGTGTACCACGACAGTTGCGAGCCTTAAAACTGTCCTAGGGCAAGCGAAGAAATGGTTGAATAACCGAGGGTTGGATGACCCGTCTGGATACACTCCCTGCTTCCAGAAATAAACGAGAACGGAAAGGAGGAGATGGCAGATGTTTGACTGGGACAACATCTGAGAGTCCCAGAAATAAATGTCAAGAAAGCAGACCTAGTTTATTTCCAGACCTAGGCCAGTCCTTTGTCAGATTCATATTCTAGGGTCTTTGTAACTACAGTCAGTCACAATTAGTTGAATATGTAAACTGTTTCTTCCCTAGAAAGTGCAGCAATACAATTATTAAAATCAAAAAGGCCCTGAGCTTAGCAGAGGCCGGAAAGCATGGTGTACTGTAGTGATTCTCAACTCAAATGTTTTTACTGATTATATTCCTGATACTGTGAGACAGATCAACAAAAGGTGTGTAAAGATTAATGAAGTACACAATACCTCCTACAAACAATTGGAACTTCAAAACATGAAGTGACTGTATGAATGAATAAATGAACAAATAAATCAGTTTAGCCTAATCGATTCTATCAGTATGTATGGACCAATCCTGTCATCTTCTTTTCAGGAAACCTAAGATATCATCATTTTAGGGAAATTCAATGTAAATTCTATTTCCTATAATGTCTACATGACAATATATAACACCACACTCAAATGACTCTAATAAGGGCCATTCACTTGAAAGAATTCCATATCAGCAAATTCTTCCTCCTTAGTAAGGGATTGCTAAAAAACCCTATTCTTCAAAATTACCTACCCACAGAAATTATTATGAGGGCACTTTAGCCACACTTCTAAACTAAGACAGGTACTAATATATCTCTTAATAAACAGAACTTTGAAAAGAGTAATATAATTTTTTTATGAGATTAAAAAAAAAAAAAAACACAAAACAAGCAGAGACATAGGGCCAGTTACCTTGGCTTTTTTGAGCAGATCGACGATATCGAGGTTCATGGATGCCAGTTCCCTGCTCGGCATGCTCTGCAGCTGTGTGATGATGAACAGCTCACAGATGTGCTGCAGTCTGGACACTTGGTACATCTCAGCACAGATCAGGAGACACATGGCCTGGAAAATGCCAGCTGAGGCAAGAAGAGAAATAAGAAAAAATGGACAATAAAACCACTTCTTTTATGACCTAAAACAAAACAATGAAAAACAAAAATATGCTGACTGTATCATCTAAAGTAGGATAGAATGCCTAGAAAAAAACCTTTAAAGAGTCAGCATTCTAAACTATTACTCCATTTAAAAAACAATTAAAGCCTTCACACTCATTTTACCCCCATGCCTTTTACCAATTTTTAAAGTGCTTTGTCCTACAGTTATTATTGTTTTTCTGAGCATTTTTTCTAATTAGCAAGATAAAACCTAAAAATCAAAGCGTCAATTACTCTAGTAAGAGAATGATGAGAAACCAAATTTTCTTATTATTTCAAATCTGGTCAAATTTTGAAATTTATTATACAAATTTGCCAGTATTTAAATAATAAAATAAACATTAACACTTATTCTGATGAGAATCGGTGCTTTCATTTTTACTAAGCAAAAATGATAAGCCAATCTTTACCACTGACAGCAATAACAAACTGACTCCAAAATACTCCAGCTAGCTGCAAGACCAGAATTAATTCCATTAAAAATAGATCTTTTTCAGGGGGAGCTCCTAAAACCTTTTACTAGAGGGCTCATTACTTCTTTAAAAATTAAGAGGTTTCAATAACAAATGTAGCATACATTCCGAATCTAAAAATCAAAGTAGTAAACCTGAAGGGAGGTATGGTCTGAAATGTATGCTTTCTTTTTATATTTGCTAGTGTACCTGGAGAGTTCCTGTAATCAAGATCTCTGGGCCCTAGAGGAAGCCACTGGGGCCTTATTCTAGTTGTGTTTGTGGTCGGAGCCATCTGGTGGCCAAAAGATGAAGATTAATCAAAGGGGGCTCCCGTGCCTGCATCCTAAAAGGCCTATCTATAGAAAGGATTCTGCAATTTCTCTAAGGTGCCTCCAGCTAGTGAAAACCTGCAAGATTTGTTCCAACCTGAAGGTGCCATAGAGAATTAGTTCTTAGTCAGAGATGGTTCTAGGTCATGAATAGAGAAATAAATCCTACAGTCCATTGGGATTCTAAACATCCTAGGAAAAGTTTCTGGAGAAGTCAGCTTCAGTAGAGTCTCACTTTAGGAGAAGTCAGAAGAAGGCCTTTAAAAGACTCACATCCTCTGGGCCCGAGAGATGACCAAGGAGGTCTCAGAATATTGGAAGTCCTTAAAAGTGCCTTAGTCAGAATTCAGAACTACAAAAGCAGTTGTCCAATCCTCTGCTTCTCATGGAAGGGATAGTGCTCCCAGGAGGTCTCTGCTCCAATCTGTAGAACTGAACTGACCACTAGGCACGAGACACCTCCATCTCCAAGGCACCCGCAGGGCCCACCAGCTGTTGGTGCTGCTGGCTGGGACATGTGAACTTATGTCAGAGTCTGAGAGCTCATAAGAAGTACCTGATCACTGCTCTTCCACTCGAACTGACTGAAAATTCACTGTTGTCCCAACACCACCTCCACCTGCTAATTTAGCACATTCCATGATGTCAACTCTGACAAACTTTAAGTGAAAACAAATTTTACAGAAGGCAGTTTATCAAAATGGGTGACAAAGAAAGAATTGTGAGATATTATATAACATTTATGCTGCTTACCTGGGCAACAGGAGTCTGTATACAAGTATTCTAAAAAGGACAAGAAAGTCTCTTTGGAAACACCATAAACTGGAATCAGAACACTCTTTGCTTCCATGTAATTCCCATTAAACATAGCTGCCATCACTTCACAACGGGCCACCAGGATGGCCCTGTGGGCTGGCACTGTTGTACCTGCAAGGTTCAAAAGGGAAACAAAGCCAAGCAAGATAAGCTTGCAGAGTTATTACTCTACAAGTTTTCTTCTAATTAGAGTAGTATTGTATTAGGCACAGCTAAGCTGATACATGGAAACCAAATTTTGGGGTTTGACAACCAGCATTAACTCAGAGACTTTTTAGTTTTTAATCGAAAAAAAGAGTTCAAAAGTTGACTTTGAAACCAACGATTTGCAAGTCAGCAGTTATTTGTTATTTAGTTTATATTTCCTGAAAATAGAAACACTGAAATATTTTGCTTTATGTGTTTATAATGGAACATCTATCCTTTAATCCTTTCAAATTGTCTTGAAATACCACCACCCATCCCTGCCTGTGTGCTTTCCAAGAAAACAATGCTATTATCTTTTTTGGCCAATTCAAGGAATGCCAAGGGACTCTCTTGTGGAGCCAAGGAGAGCATTTCAGATTTTCTGGAAATGGAAAGGCATGGCCTAGTCCCCTGCTGTCTGCCCAGCATACTAGCTCCCTAAAGAACCTCTCTTTCCTAAATGAACAATATCTGCCTCTGTGAGAGAGCCAAAGGTACTTTAAAATTTGAGGGCCCCTCAGCCCACATCTCTCACTGAAGCTCATTAAACTAAACTGGCTCTCTAGTAAAGAGAGTAGCTTGCTTCTCCAGCTACTATGCTGCCACACCAAGGCACTGCCAGAAGGGACATGTGTCACACAGGGCTCGCGGGTAGAGAAGCAGTTCTCAACACTCCCACCACCTTAGGAAACCATGATTCCACAGCCAGCCTTCAGTTTAGATAAGTTCAATAGAAAAGAAGAGAAGAGTTCCATCAAATTCCACTAGCTTTCTTCAAAGCCGGTAATCTCTCGGGATTCACAAGCGTCTCCCGACATTGCCAGTTTTGAACTCACTGCTTGGCACTGTGATTTCACAGGCAAACCTCCCACAGGAGCAGAGAGAAGGGGCCGCAGTGAGCAGGTTGTCACGCACCTGCTAGCAGACACCCTCCCTCCTTCTGGGCCCCTTCCCTTCCCTGCCTCTTTGCCTTTAGGCCACTTGCCCTCAATGTCAGTGTCCATCTACAAGACGACCAGTTTCCATTCTCAAAGCATGCTAGCTATATTTGTACACAGCAATTAACAAAGAATTCAAACAGGTAATGCAATTTGACTTGTAATTTTAAGGTTTTAAAATCTTAAATAGGGGACCATGAAAAAAAGAAAAAAGAAAATTAGAAGCATCACTTAAACAAACCAGATAAACTATAATTTGGGTTAAGCAGAGGAATTTAAGATTGGCCAATAATACCAAGTGAATAGGGTGGGGAATGAATTTGGTAGGTAACCTTGGAATTTAACAAATTTTCCATGGATAATGTGGTTACAAAATCAGCAGTGAAACACCCAGTACCTTAAATTAGCATTCTCAAGCCAATTTCAAGCTTGGAATTTAGCTTGGAAAACGACTTGTTTCTCACCTTTTTAAACTACTGTTTTGGTGTTATATATTGTCCTATCGTGAAACTGTAATACAATACCTCAGTACAGCCATATTTTTAAACACTGTATATAAACTGTACAAATATATAAACACTGTATAAAACATTCTGAATAAACACAATGTAGTGTTTATACACTAAACAGCAATAAGATAGAGCTGAAAAATTACTCGGGGAGGGGAAAAAAATCAATTTTCTAGTTAAAAGATTAACATGTTCCTTGAAAATGCCAAGGCCTAAAGTATCTTTCCTTTGCTGTATCTAATAGGTGTATAGCTCTAAGAAGCATTTTTTTAAAGGAAAAGAGTTTTAAGAGCAAAACAAAATTTAAAACCCCAAGTTTTCTAGTAATTTTCCATAGATCCTCAAAGATTTTTGTTGTTATTATATACTAAAGTACTGCATTTGTTATACCTTCTTCACATTTCCTTGACAAGTTTTAAGAGATTTTCAGAAATGTTTTGTTTTATTCTGAAAATTGCAAACTTGCCTAGTTAGAATATGTACTGCTTAAGTAAACAATGACAGAATGTAAAAGCACTTTTTATGAGATGCAGTTTCAAATGTCAAATGGAAACTCCTATCCTTCTATATCAGATCTAAATGTTTACCAAGACTACTTTTAAAACTGCTATCATAGCTTCTTTAAATAATTATTTAATGGAAAAAGACAGAAACGCAAACAACAAATTGGGGGCGGTAGTATTTTTTTGATGACTATTAAAAGGATAGTAAATAATCCCATGTCAATTCCGGCCAGTTTTTGATGATGGCCTGGAACATTGTAAAAGAAAGATCTGAGAAGGCCCTGGGTTCAGGGGGAACCATGCACTGACTCACCAGTGCTGGATGCCACGGCAAGGGCTAGGGAAGGGGGTCCACCAGTCAGGTCTCCAAATACACCTTTATACACACCACCTCAATCTCTGTGACCATGCTACCAGGTAGAAATTAGTATCCCCACTTTACAGGCAAGGAAACAAATGATCAGAAATGTAATGTAACACAGCCAAACCTATTATATGGTCAATATTTACCCAAGCAAGATCCCAACTAGACCAAAGAGTCTGCCTCCTCCAGAGACAGCACAGCTGCCTTCTACACACTGGAAGCTGCCCTCCCCACGCTCTGTAGAAGCTGCGCTTGTCTCACCTCCAGATGATGGCAGACAAACTGTTGCTGGCTCCTGCTTTTTTTCCTGCTTCTCTTTGCTCCCAAATCCTTGGGAGGCCTTGGTTTTGGAGCTGGAGAGGCTACAAGGTGTATCACAGCCGCTGCTGTTCATACAACCAGCCCTCCAGCCCTTCTGGACTCAGCCTCCGCACAGGTGGGGGTGTGAGCAAGTGTTTGTAAAGGGTTTGTAGGTGGAATCATGGAAGAAAAGCCAGAGATTATAAGGAGAAAGGATTCTCCACGTCACTGCTTCTTCCTTTTCTCTTAACATAACATATATTTTCATGTGTTGTATATTCCCTTTGAAAATCTTTTCCGGTTGTACTAACATAATGTTTGATGTAAGGGCCTCCTATGCAAACAGGTGTTAATAACTCCTAGGCAAATAAGCAGATTTGGTCTCTTGTTAGGTTTTTTTCCAAATCATTTTTTATGTATTTTAAAGTCATTCTTAGTGTCCCATTCTCAGTGTCCCAAGCTAACACTGCAGACAGTATTGATGGTAGCTTATCAGAAAGCACTCTGGAAAGTTCCCAATTCAGTTTGTCTTGGCGATTGGCCAAAATTAAAAGTAAAATTAACTTTTCAGGGTGAAATTTTTTAAAAGTTGAATGACTGTTAGCTGCCATACATCTCTACCATAACATAAAATTCTATCTTCCTTTTAGTAATAGCCCACCTGAAGTTCTAGTTATTTCATTTGAAAACAACGCCTTCTAGCATAATTGAAGGTATCTGACATTCATTTTTAAGACCATGCTTTTAATCTACTAAAGTGAAAAAATTATCCAAGCAAATAATCAATAATGGGCATTAAAACGGCTCACATTTATTAAAATTAGGTAACATTACTTTCCTACAGAGATAACAAAGCAGCTCTTAGTTGCTCTGGTGATAATTCTCAGAGTGCTGGGAAGAATCAATGTAGCAATACCTACAGACACCTGGTGTAAGCCACGTATGATCACCAGCCCATGGTTAGTTCCCCGTGCTCAAATGAAAAGGAAGAGAGCTGAATAAAATGAGCTGTAGGTAATAAATATAATTTTAAGGGAGCTGGCTTCAGAGGGCTCAAAAACTGGGACCTTAAAGAAATAAACAAACATATTTAATGGGGTGATAATACAGACCACTTCTTCCCTTGCTGGTCCCTAAAAGTTAATGAAACATATGATAAGGAGGAAAAAAACTAAGGAAAAAATATATTTTTTATTTTAATAAAATACTTCATTTCCCTGGAAGATTTTCTTAAAATTCAGTCAGTGTTAATTCACATCCTACAACGGAGAATTGTCATTCCTACACCCAAAATAGTCAAAGCTAAAATAAAAAGTTAGGTAAGAAAACAATCTAGTGAACGATAAACTTTGTAAAAATTGAACCATACCTTGTATTTCAAAGACAACATCAGCAAGCATTGGTTTATTAAGGAAAAACTTGAGAGAAGTGTTATAAAACCACAGAGGTTTTCTGGCTTGATAGGTTTTGCAATTCCTTAGGCAATTAATCTGTAAAAAAAACCCCAAAATACAAGGGTAAATGTTATACCAAAAGCTTTGCTAATATATATGGGCTAGTTAGAGAATTTGAAAAACTGTGCTAAATATCTGAAGAAATAATGATCTCTGATCATAGCTTTCATGGAAGCCTACCCTTAAGAACTACATCTGCTACCTGTCAATGAGCAACATCGCGCAATGCAGCATTCACAGTACTGAATGAATTGGCTAAGTGAAAACTCAACTCTATGGCCGAGAAGCTGTGGGGTCCTAAGTCCCCAAGGGTCCTATCTCATATGAATGCCTAGAAAAATACGTTTACATACACAACATGCTCATTTGTTCACTAATTAAGTACATACACAATGACTTAACTCGGAATTAATAAAAAAATACCAATTTTTCCTCTATCACACCACATCCTACTACTTACCAGATCACTATTAAAATACCAGAGAGTGATAAACTGGTTCATCTCCATCTTAATCTACAATTTTATAATACCATTCCTAGCCACAGCAGGGACTGCTGGAATCTGTAAAAGGTTACCTGGATCTCTGATCTGGAGCTCCAGAGAACCTCTTCCATGGTTATCCGTCCTCTCACACCTTCTCACTCCAGCTGATGGACTCCAGTAACAGTGCCTCTGTCTGACCTAGTGGTCTCCAGCCCTCCTCTGCTCCCACTCAGGATCTGGTGCTTTGTGTCATTGCTGTCATCTTTCAGACATCCCAGGAGTTAAGAGCCAGCCCCTCTTCCCTCACCCTCCAGCCATCTCCCCTGCTGAATCGCAGAACTTCAGCCCAGGCCAGAACTCTGACCTCTGCCTGCCTAGCCAGGGAATACAGAAAGATTTATCCCTAAAAAAATAATCAAGCATACCACTTCAGCATTAAGAATAAATGTCACCGACTCCCCACTCCAGATTAATCTACTATGCTGGAAAGTTAAAATATTGTTGAGAGGGGGAAAAATATTATTCTTCCTGACAAGGAAGAAAACACTCCAGAATGCTATCCATGAGCAAGACAGAGAAACAAAACAGGATTATACAAATTTCAGTCTTATAAAGTACATTCTCAGATCTTATATATGCTTTAATACACACTGAAGGAATTGGTGGAGAGGATCCATGTGACTGCCACACAGAGAGTAACAGTCAAAAAGCATCATAGAACTTGAGAGGTATAGGGACTTAAGAAATCATCCAATTTTATCCCTCATTTTCTAGAAAGCCTGAGAAGACTTGCTCAAAGCCACAGAGATAATTCGTGGCAGCATAATTTAAATATGCATTTCCTGATTTCAAATTCAGTGTTACATCCCCGTGTCATACTCCATGAATGAGAGAAACCCTTACCCCAGGAAAACACAGGAAGAAAGCACAAAGAACTCTTCTCTCTTCCCATGTAAAGAAAAGAATTTAGTTCAATATCATGGACTCATACAGCCCCTAGCCGCCCCTTCACCAGCAAGAATTCATTTTGTTCTCAGTACTCAAAGGAATGACTGTGTTCAGAATCAAACCCAAGGAAAGGCTCAGGCTTAGAACAAAAGGCCACACTTCTGTTCTAACCATTCATATAAAGGTTATGGGTTTGTATATCATGAATTCTGTGTAAATGTATATTATGTGTGTATGCATGTATATATATACATACATACATACATACACACACATCTATATAAACAGATTCCCTTGCCACCTACGTCTTGAATGTGAGGGCAGGAGTTTGGAGAGAACACAGATGTACATGATGTACATTTTCACTGGTCTATAAACTAGTTAATCTAGAGAACTTTTGAAAAACAGAATGCAGGTTTATGTGAACATTTCTACAAAATCATTACTCAGTTGAATTAGACCAGAAGGAGCTATCACAGTGCCACACATCTATCAAACCGGACAGCTTCTGTATACCTGCTTCGATGTGTTATTGAAAAAAGAAAAGAAAGGTCTTGCCCTTTTCATTTCATGTTACTTTGTCAAAAAAAAAAAAAGTCTATTTCACAATTAAAGAATAGTTGGGGAATGTTCATTAAAAGCTAGTACAATTTTACATTTTAAAATGTTAGGTTGTAGAACTGACAAAATCATTTGCAGAAAAAATTAAAGGAATAATACTTTTTACTTATATCTAATATAAACCTATAGTCTAGTAGGCATTGCACATAACTTAGCTTTTTACCTACTGTAACCAATTTGTTTATCACAGAATCTGAAATTAGAGTACAGTGGCCAAACTGTGTAATTTAGTTGTTTTAAAATGTAACAAATTTACTTTTAAAGCCCTTATAGACTCTATACAATCTAAATGACTAGAGTTTTAACATGCACAAGTTTATGACCATACAGAAAGCCTATATTTTTATAATCTTTGAAGCTTATACTTTTGAACCTATATTAGATGAAAAATAAACCCTTAACTGTTCACTTGTTCAAACAGATTTCTCAGAACTCTTGAAAAAGGCACCACAGAAACTGCCTTGCTCCTGAGAACTACTTGAACTTAAATTATGAGGAGTGAGCAAGTACTCCCTCCAACAAGCTTAGCTGTAACTGGACAAATTTGACAGCCCTTTATTCTTGACATAGATTGCATACTCCCTGAGCACCAGGAGAATTTTCAGAGGATGGAATCCACAAGTCAACATTTTAAAGATATGACTTACACATATTTTAATTCTTACATGAATTAAAATTTGAGATAGTGAGAAATAACGTGTTTACATTTAAAATATTTAAATGGTAAAAAATAAACTTAAGGAAAACATCCGTCTACTGAGTCTTCTCATGATTCGATATTACATTCATCATAGTGTATCACTTATAATTCAGAGAAAGTCAAAGTAAAATAACTTACAATAAACTAACTTACCTTTCCTGGTGTTTTTAAAATGCATTTAACTTTCTCAATTACATTTGAAACATCCCCAGAATCTTTCAACTTCTTCCTGATATCTTCTTCCAATTCTTCCCACTGGAAAGCACCTGTAAACAAATTTATATTGAATTTTTCTGTTAAAGTGGGACAAAAAAATAAATCTCTTATTAGATATCAATGTTTCTTCTTTTATAGTGTTCTAATTTTTCTTTACCAAATATATATCTTTGTAATTACACTAAAACATTTAAATAGCTCTCACATTTTTTAAAAAATCGGTTTGCCTTCTCCTAAATTATTCAAATCCTAAAAACTTCCTCCTTGGACAGCTGCCACCCCTCTGTAGTAGGTGGTGAGCTAGTGATAACAGCAAAGGCCAGAATACGAGTTACCATCTCAAGTAGTCCAACATCCAAATTATTTTCTTGCCCTGGTAAGAAGGCAGATGTGGTCTTTTCTAAGGTTGAATTAAATCAAACTTATAGAGAGCAGTGACTATCATCAGGTAGAGGAATAGGAAGTAGGAACAATGCATTCCGAAGGTCTCATGTATTGTCAGCGTCACATAATGTTCCATTGCCATCTCTACAGAACGACCTGAAAAGGGGAGCTAGATAATTTTCTGATGAGCTACATGACTGTGGCATTGGAGCAAAATCACCCCACCTATTCGCTTCCTCACCTTGTCTTCACCCCAACCCACTTCCAAGCTATCTCTTCCTAGGCTCACTTCACTTTCATTTCACACTCTGTTAGCCCCTTTTTCTCTTAGGAAATTCCTTTTCCATGGTCAGCAAAAGTTCACCTTTTCCTCAAGCGCCTCTCTCATCTGGCCCACAGCAGCCTCCCTTCTTCCCAGTTGGTCTATTCCTCATCAAATCTACCCCATTACGCCATGCTGATAAGCTTCCAAAAGTACAGTTCTGATCACGATATTCTGAGAGATCACCCCAGTTCACCCTATGGCTTACAGAAACTCCTAACTCCTAAAAATATAATTTGAAAAGACGCAGTGTGGCAGACATAGTTGGGAGACCCAGATTCTAGGTCCATCTCTGCCATTAATCATGGATGTGACTTTAAGGAGTTCACCTCACCTCTCTGGGTAACTTGGGGTCCTTTCTATCTGCTCTTCATCTATCTCTTCTGATGTTTCCCTTCACGTATCCAGATGCCTTCATGGATATTGGGGAGTGGAGAGGGCAATAATAAACACGTATTGAACCAATGAGATCAGGCAATTATAGCCAGTCCATACAAACAAGATCTAAAGCTAATCAGAAGGCAGCACTTGGCACTCCTGCATATCTTTACATTTCTCCTCCCCTAACCTTCATAATGACTACAGCGTTTCCTGGGGGCATGGGGAGGGAGAAGGAGAGCCCTGACTTGAGGCATCTGCTATTTCTGTGGTGTAAATACTCTCACCAGAGTCCAATTCTAGCTACCAATATGACATTGCAGAGCACAGATTTGGGAATAAACAAATCGGTTCTCACAAGTTGGTGCCGATGGCTCTAGCACTCCACGCTTGTTTCACCTTCAATCATTCTTTTTCTCGTTTCTCCATTTGCTCCCCTTCCACTCAAATTCCCAAAGGTGTACAGTCTAGAACAAGTCCCTAGTTTTAGTTTTCTTCTTCCTGCGCTAATAATTTTTAACAAGGTCACATATTCTTTTCACTATCTGATAAATTCTTTAGACTGTCTCTCCAGAAAATTTCACATGCACACATAGACATTAAAGTCTGCATACAAATGTCAGGAACAGAAAAACCCTTTAGAAGCCATGGGACATCAAATCAAAAAAATTTACTCTGTGCAGTGATTCTCAACTCTAGCTGTGCATTACACATTTACCTGGAGACCTTTTATAAAATGCTATTGGTAGAGATCTCATCCTCAGACCAACTGAACTCAAATTCCTGGTGCAGGGGCCCAGACATCAATTTTAAAACCCTCCCAGGTTATTATAATGTGCACTGAGTGCTGATGACCACAGCTCTTTCCTTAGACATTTCATCCATTATCAAAATCCAGAGTTAGTGGAATAAAGCAAATAGTAAGTTTAGGTATTTTTAATTGTCTACACTGAGGAGTGTTAAATGAAAGAACAAACATTGTCTTTTAAAAGTAAAATTATATTAACTAAATAAAACCTATATGATACCTCTATGCAGAAGGTTTGAAAGAAAGCAATCATTAAATCTAAATATATGGAATTAGAAGCAGGAAAATCCCTATAGGCCAATGATCTGTTTGAGAACAGACAAAGAAAGGTCCAATAACTAAAAATGAAAGTAAGACTAGTTCATAAGGGTGGGTACTCCAATGATCGGGTTGTTTCCATGATTAGAAATGCTAATCATATCATCTTTGATACTTGTAGGTCCTAAAAAGACAATAATCCTTAGACTAGGATTTTCTTTTTCTTTTTAGTGTAGTAAGAACATTTACTATGAGATCTAACCTCTCCACAAAGTTTTAAGTGTTCAGTACGGTATTGTTAATGATAGGCACGACGCTGTAGGTACAGCAGAACTCTAGAACTTAATCTGTCTTGTGTAACTGAGATTTTTCTTTACTTACCTTCTCAGAGCATTTATTTACTTTACTTAGACAATTAGAAAACATCGTATACTCCTCAGTCCTAAGCTGTATTTTTATGCAGTGTAGAAAAGAGCATGCCACAGAATTCCAAGAGCTGGAGAATACTATGCAGACTGAAGAGGAAAGCGTGCTTCCACATACTCATTTACCCTGGCCGCATTTCAATAAGTGATGTAAAATTCTACAGGCCATTTGTGGCAGGAAGAACTCAAAGCTAAATTCTTGAGGCTCTTACAAATATTTCAATTCCTAACCATCTGAGATCATGTGACTCAGGAATTTGCAAGCATAAAGACTGTGTCTAGTATTGTAAGAATGTTACAATTGTATGCCATTTATGGATTATTCTATGAAGACCAGGAAACCACTTGCCCTCACTTTTCAGATTACTCCTTCTTTAGTGTTAGTCATTAAATACTTATACATCAAGCAGTGTTAGCTGTTATCCAATGGAAAATTAACATATACAAAACAGACAGGCTTTTCCAGTGTCTACTCAGAAATCTGAATAGGAAAATAAACTGAAATCTTATACATAGGTTTAACACATTAACCAGACTATCAAATGGGCCCTCCCTAAGTACAGGACACAACTGTCCTTATATACAAAATTTCAAATTCCTAAAGATTAAAAAGAAATTTTTAATTTAAAATTAATTTTTTTTTAATTAAGACATTCTTTGTCATTTGGTTCACTGAAAGAAAAGGGCATGATCTAGGTTTAATATGGTTTTTCAGCCTGTGTTTGCTCATATTCCAGAGTGTGCCATGTCATGGAGTTCTGCCTTTGCTTTACTGACCCGGCTGATGTGAGCACAACAGCTCCTGTCTTTGACAGCCCCCTAACATAACTGTAGTAGGCCAGTGCTTCTGTGAGGAAACCATTTCATAATCGAGTCTTAAAACCCGTATTCTGTTCAAAAGTTTTCAATGTTTAACCACAACAAGAAAAACAAAACAAAAAAAGTGAGCCTGTCATCTTTACAGAAGTCTCTGAGAAAAAAAAATGTAGGTTTAAAATTGTTTGATTTGATAAAAAATATATATCTTTTAAAAAGCCCAAGTCATAAAGACTAGAAGATAAAACAAAACATCAATAAATGTTTAGATATATGAGAATGAGGACCTGGCTGATTTTTTTCTCTCAATAAATTTTCTATTTTTCAAAATTGTCTTTACTGTGCAAATACAGTTTTACTAACATTTCAAACATAACTTACACATAATTTAACTTTTGCTTTAGTCCGAGGTTATACTCTGTGAATAATTAAAGAATAATTCACAGGTACCTACGGAAGCATTTATTTTCCCTTCTCCTCAACCAGCATCAGGCTGTTGCTCTGAAGCCCCAGGTTAATGGCCCTGTGGCCCTGCTCGTGCCTGACATCACTTCTTGCTGGGCCATGGCATACAAGGAGAGGTCAGAGCACAAATGCAACAGCTCAGTGTCAGATTAAGAAGTCTGAGCTCCGAACAGGTCAAGGGCTTATAGATCAGCAAGTTTTCCTTGCCATCATGCCCCTCAGCCCTCTAATCACTATTCCCAGGTTTACTTCATTTCCACACAAGTGCTAAGCATCCATTTTTCCCGGCTTCCAAGCAGGGGCTACGACAGGACACTGATAGCTCTAGCTCTGAGTAGCTCTCTGCATCAGTCAGCATTGCAGCTGACCCCCTTGTTCTTTTCCTGCAGTTTTTTTTTCTTTAATTTTATTTAATTATTAGAGTTGACATTCAATATTATTTATATTAGTTCCAGGTGTACAGCTTAGTGGTTAGACATTTACATAATGTATGAAGTAATCCTTCTGATTAGTCTAGTACTCTCCTGACATCTTACATAGTTATTACAATATTATTGACTATATTCCCTATGCTGTACTTTGCACATCACTGTGACTATTCTGTAACTACCAATTTGTACTTCTAAATCCCTTCATCTTTTTCACCCCGCCCCAAATCCCGCTCCCATCTAGGAAGCACCAGTTTGTTCTCCATATCTATGAGTCTGTTTTCATTTTGTTTGTTCGTTTATTTTGTTCTTTAGATTCCACATATAAGTAAAATCACAAACTATTTGTCTTTCTCTGTCTGACTTAGTTCACTCAGCACAATATAGCTGACCCCATTTTGACTTTGTGCCCTAAGACTAAGAACTGGGTTCCTCTCCTGGGCCTCCGGGGTGAGTTCCATGCCCTTATCCCCTGGCTGTAACTGGTACTCAGTTCGTTCAAGAGCAGGTGTTACAACTGCTTGTGTGGTCCAAGGCATCAGCATCACCTGGGAGACTGCTGGAAATGCTGGGTTCCTCTCCTGGGCCTCCGGGGTGAGTTCCACGCCCTTATCCCCTGGCTGTAACTGGTACTCAGGTCGTTCAAGAGCAGGTGTTACAACTGCTTGTGGTCCAAAGCATCAGTATCACCTGGGAGACTGTTGGAAATACAGAATCCCATGCTCCACCCTGGGCCTACTGAATCTGAATCTGCACATTAACAAGATCCCCAGGTGACTTAAATGCTCTCTAAGGTTTGAAAGGCACTGGCCCAGATGATGGACAAATTGTAGCACCTGTTGTCAGAACGTTGGCCTTTCTGAGGCTGATCGCCAGAAAGGGGTGGGGCGGGGGTGGCAGTGGCTCCTCATTGGACTCCTGTCTTGAATGCTCCAGTCATTCCTCTCACCATCACCACGGCTGAGTTTTCTAAAACCCAGTCTGATTATGCTTAAAATCCTAGAACAGCTTCTAAGAATGGCAGGAACAGGTCCCACCAGCCTTGACAGCCTCATCTCCTTCCTGCCATTGTCTCCCACTCTATGTTCCAGCCATGGGGAATGATTTGCGGTTCCCGAAAAACAGCAGTAACGAAAGATTACATTTTCATTAAAGCAAGTTTCCCGACATCTAATTTCTTTCAAATAGCATAAGAGTGAACGTATGAAAAACTGGTAATAGGTAACTGACTCTGGGGACCGAGACTGGAGGATGAGAACTTTTTCTTTTCCTCTTTTTCATATCTGCATATATTAATTTTGCAATTTAAAAAATCAGTCCCTATGAGAAAGACAAGCAGGTTCTGTATATGGAGAGACATGTAGCAATTTTACTGCTACAATATTAAAGAAGATATAATGGATTTCAAAGTGTTCGTGTGCCTTTGAAAGTATTCAATGGACATTGTGGGAAACTTGTTCCATAATTCATAATTTTGACAGTAAAATCACTGGGAAAAAAAGCCAAACACTTACATCATAGTTCTCTGAACATATCATTAAAATATTTTTTTCTTTTAACATGTAAACATTTGGTTTTTCAAAATTAGTCTTAAATTCTGAATTGTGAGATACTAGGTTTAAATATAAAAATCTGTAATACTAAGTGAAGTCTTTAGGCTGGTTTATTCATTTGATGATTCTCAGCTACTAAAGTCTACTCATTAATTCAACCGACACTAAGAAAACCTGCCACGTTGAAGGCACTGTGCTGCTGTGCCCCATAGGAGTGGTTATTTATGCCTTTCCAAGCCAATAGTCACTGAACAATGGATTTAACACCTAACAATATATTTTACTGATTTACATATTTTAACCCACTTAGATCGGCATGCTGCAACTGTACTCTTCACAATCATTCAGTTACAAAATTATATAACCACAACCCAAATGAAAAAAGTAATCTTGCTTTTCCCATCAATCATGTCAACCTGAAGGCTGCCCAAAACTTTCTGATAGGAAATGATACTTCCTTTCTTTACTTGTAAACTTTTATAAACTTCTTATCTGTCCTCAATTTTGATGTCTAAAAACAGATTATAAATATTTCTCTAGACACATTTCAGAGAACGAGTGACCGTAACCTAAAATTTCATCAGTACACGATCCCAAGAATAAAAATAAAGTTCTCTGAATATGTATATTTAGATGCTTGCTTTAAACATCACTTTGCATTCATTCTTCCCCATTCTTAATTGACTTTCATTTGCTAAAATGACTCAGACTAAACTTCTATTCTTTAAAATATGTTGCTACTGAGTTTTTAAAAAGGATAAGGATAAAAATAATGGATAAGCTGAATCATAAAAAGGGTGCAGTAAGAAAAAAAAAAAGTTGCCTAAAATAGTCATAATCAAAGTTGATCAGATCTCAGCCTCAACTACCTTTAGACACTGTTTCCGGTTTCTAAATTGAATGCAATGACCCTGCTAATTTCTCTCCTCAATCCTTCCAAAATCTAAGAGTCAAACAGAAAAGTGAATATATAGCTAGATTTTAAGATATAGGCATTCGTTTTCATATACACTTGGAAAATTTTATTTCTTTAAAGTGAAACTGAACAATAAATTCTTGTATTTTCACATTTTGGGTATTTCTTCCTCAGTAGGAAAAGAGATTATTGCTTTTACAAGTAGATTGAAAACCAAGGCAAATAAACTGATAAGGAAGATAGAAAGCTTGGACCAATTCCTTCCTGTACATAAGCAAATACTATTTCAGGTACGATCTTCACTTCAGATGACAGGAAGAAGATAAATGTAACACTAACCAACACAGCTGAGAACCATAGGCATACCTCATTTTAAAGGCCTAAGAGAATGTACCGCAACCATTTGACAAGATACCTGAATAAATGAAGCGCAGAATGTCCGATAAACACAAACAGAAGAGGGCGTCTTTAACGATGACTCGTAATGGTGGGTTGCCTGGAGAACCCTGGCTAGCACCTGGAAGTGCAGCGTCTCTGTTGATAGCAAAGAGATCCTGGGTAGTTCGGATGATACTGGAATCCTGAATATCAGCAGGGCTCTTCACATTGAAAAGCAGCATGAAAACATGGCTTACGGCACAGAGCACGATCTTGTGGGCCTCCACAACCTCCTTTAAGTCTGGGTTGTAAAATACCACATCCACACACTGGCAGCAAAACAGCAAGTTATTTAAGTCAGAGTTATAATGTGATGCTTCAGCCTTTAAGATGGGCATTTTTTCTGTTTCAAAAAAGAAAATAAAAATAGTAAACTACTCTTTAGGTCTGTAGACCCAGTCGTTTCAGGTTTGCCTTAAATACAACAAAACATATTTGGCCATTTCTGAACTATAAAAACAGCACTTTTATATAGTTTAAGCTAATTAAGCCATATAAAACATAATAATCCAGGGATTGTAGGATTTCGTAGCAGACACAGAAATGCTGTATTTGCTTTTTATAGTACAAATGAAAAACCTACTAATATTATAATAAGCAATATTTCTCATTATTTGTGTGACTCAAAATAAAACAGCCCTCCAAACACTGAATTTTAGTATGTTGATAGTCATCATTCTTTTCTGTCACTTGATTTAAAAATTCAAACAAATTACTGAATTTGTCCTGAAGAAGCCAACCTTACATCTGAAGTTCTCTTCCTCCTGGGACTGGAAGTAGAGGTGGAGGGATAAACTATTAAAACTGCAACTTCTCAAAGCCAGGGCTCAGAGTCTTGGACTCTATTGTTTGAACCCATCTTGACCACTATATTTTGTTAGTAAAATTAGTATTTTTTTCCTCCTAGTAAAACTACATACCTCCCCAGAATGACCTTTTTCCCCTTAGTACCTCTAGGCTTGGCTAATTTCCAAAAGAGGATGCAATGTTCCATTTCCAAGTTCAATCACTAACAAAGATTAGTCTTCATTCAATTCAGAATATACACACAGAGGACGAACAACACACAGACCCTAACTGTAAAAAGTCTGCTGTCTAAATTTTATCCAAAGCTGAGCCAAGAAAAGTGTTATCTGTGAAGGACTGCTTAATGATATACCCTCACTTAAATCTGTCAAATGCAAACTTCTTTAGCAATGAAAATTCTTTATTCGAAACCAAAAACTCTGTTCTATAAAATGAACGATAAGAAGATAATTTGAGGGCCAGGCTCTTTCTGCATGAACCCCACTCACCTTCCTCTTCACTGCCTGAGGCACCTTTACAGACACTTAAAGGCTGAGAATAGTCTAAAAGCCATGTACTCCAGAGCCCAGGATCTGTGCTTAGAACAAGTCAGAACCAGAACGAATGTATACACAGACTTGTATCGTTCTGGCCCTCTGGGTTATGTTCAGTGTGATACCCACAGCTCTCCTAACAGAAGGGTACAAGAAACAGCCTTGAGAAAGTTGAGACTGCATTTGCTGATGGGATGCCTGAAGGCCCTGTCCCCTGGTGCCCCAAAATGAAGACCCACAGGAGAAACTTCTTTTGCTGCTAAATGACATGAAATGCTTTGTGCTTTCTCTGAGGAACTGGTATGTTTCCTCTTCTTGATTAATAAAAACTAAGAAATTATTCATCAGCATTATTTAGTTGGCTATTTCCCACTTGTCTTCACACCTGGCAAGTATTTTAAGGCCCCACCGTTTGCTACATTACAGACCAGGAAGTTCAAAGCCAAGGGTGTATTATTTATAGTCTATATATCCGCATTATTTTTAAACCTGGAATTGACTTCCCCTACTAATTATATTTTCCTGATTTTTAATTTACATTCATTAATTCAACAAATACTTATCAAGTACCTACTTTAAAAAGCAATATCCATAACAAATTAATCTGGATAGAGTACTATCCTACTACTTCCATGGCAAAATGCAAAAAAATCCTGATAACAGTTGATGTTAACTTTATTAAAGTTAATTTTAACTAATTTCTTCTAACCTTATATTATGAACCGTTTTTAAAAACTTCAAAAAGGTTGAAAGAATGATGCAATGAGCACACACACATCCTTCCCTTTAATTCTGCAATTATTAACATCTTGTCATTTTTCGTCTTACTCTAGATAAACACTATACACTCACTCACGCTGCTGACCCATTTAAAAGTAAGCTGCAATCATCAGGATATTCTGGCTCTAAAAACTTTCATATTCATCTCCAAAGAGTAAGGACATTCTTCTATTAACCACATGAGCATTATCATGCGTATAAATGATTCTACAATATCATCTAATTTCCAGTCCATATTAAAATTTTACCCAACTGTCCCAAGAACATCTTTTATCCAGTCAGGGTTCATGCACTGCATTTGGTTTTGTTTCTCATTTTAGACTACAATCTAGAACAGCTCTCCATACCACACACTATTTTTAAGAATCTGTATGTTCAAGTTTTTAAGACAATAGTCCTCAAAATGTGGTCCAAGTACCATTTGCTTCAGAATCACCTGGGAAGCTTATTTAAAAAGCAGATTATAGGCTCTATCAAGATTTACAAATCAGAATGCCAGGTGAGTCCTAAACATACTCAAATTAGAGAACAATTGCTCTAAGACTTGTGAAATGATCTATAATAAATATCAACTGAATGTCTAGGCATTGGCTAATAAATGCACCTGGTTGTTCAAGCTGAGGTGGTCTAATTCCATGAAATGAGTTGCTCATTTTTCTTTTCTTCATTTTCTCACTTGTCTTCTGATTTAAGGCTTGAATCATAAAATACTCCAACTAAAACATGAATCAAATTTTAATTAAAAGTCTAACAAAATTATGTATCTGACATGATTATTTGTACCCCAAATCATATTTGCCAAATGTTTTTAACGCCAGTAACATCTAAACATAAGCTTTAGCAAACTCTTAAACAATGTTTTCGATAAAAAAAAAAATGGATCAAGTCAAACAGATTGTGCTTTGTCTAAACATAAATAAACTACCCATTCAAGAAGGAACTGAAATGATCAAGAAAACCAAGCAATATAATTGTGTGACTGTCAATAAATAAACTACCCATTCAAGAAGGAACTGAATGATCAAGAAAACCAAGCAATATAATTGTGTGACTGTCAATAAATAAACTACCCATTCAAGAAGGAACTGAATGATCAAGAAAACCAAGCAATATAATTGTGTGACTGTCAATAAATAAACTACCCATTCAAGAAGGAACTGAATGATCAAGAAAACCAAGCAATATAATTGTGTGACTGTCAATAACCCTCCCAAGGCCAACCACAGTAGTTAATATTAGAGAAAGTCAAGGAAGGAACAGATCTGGCTCTATGTCACATATGCTCATATCACTTAGGGAAGTTTACATGTGCTCTATTTCTTCCCTGAATAAATTACTTTGAAATACATCCTTTATTTTATAAATTAAAAATTTTAACCACATGTACTTACACAGCTCCAGGCCTGTGCTTTACATTGTAAGGCCTGGGGCAAAAGTACAAATGAAGGTCCAGGTACCATATACCTCAATATTAAATGATATAAATCAAGGAAACTGTTATATAAAAGATATTCTGCTTTGACAAATATATCATCGTAAAAGCCTGGAAAGCCAGGTTCAAATTTAAATTCTCCCAGTTCTCCATGCAGCACAGGTAGAGCTAGTTCCTAACTCCTGGACCCCAAGACTGTCCCTTCTCTTCTCACCCACTGCTCTATCACTCATCCTCAAGGAGGTTTGTACATACAAGTAAACCTCCATGCCTACATAAGCAAGCTCCATCCATCCTCCCCTCCTTCAATCCTCGTACACAGTCACCCCTCAGCTACCTCTCAGGTCCAGGGAAACATATATCATCAATGTGGTCTACCATAAGGAGGATGGACCCAGAAAAGAGGCCTGTACAGACAGGCCTGGGAAATAGACTCAGAGCCAGCTACCCAGAGAAGTCTGGGGTTCTTGGTTTTGGAGCATGGTCACAGCATTGTTCAACACAACTCTCTGTTCTGTGCTAATGGAAATGTTCTGTAATATCTATACTAATCAACACAGTAACCACCAGCTACATGTTCCTAAAATATGGCGAATGCACCTGAAGAACTGATTTTTTTGTTAATTTAAATATAAATAGGCACATGTGGCTAGTGGCTACTATATTCAATGCTGCATATCTAGAAGGGGCCATCAGCTCTACTGGGCACATCCCCTTGATCCACCATCTTGTGCCCTGCTGTAGGGAGGGGTGAAACTGCAGGAGGTCTAGAAGGGACTCTGTAATGCTTGAGGGCACATGCCTATCTTGCCCCAGACTAAAGGTAATATTGCACAGCTCTTCATCTCTGACTCTTAAACAAAAGATTTTAAATGCTCCTTTCACTCTGACGTTATCATCTCCACCCATATTCTTGCAAATACCATTATTTCTTACACTCAAGATCTCAGTTGTACTTTACTTTCCAAGAGTCTGAAAAGTGATCACTCTGATTTTACGTCCATATTGTCATTAAATCTTGAGCTAAGGTAAAAAGGAACATGTTTTTCTCCCAACCTTCAACACATCTTCAATCCCCATCATGCCTCCAGCCCTAACGGCAACACAAGGATTAGGAGCAAGGAGAAACAAAGGGGAGGAAGGAGGAAAAAGAGACAAGAGGAAGTGAGAGTTAGGGGGTTGGAAGAGTGATCCTGAGAATTTCAGGTTCAGGAACCTGAAAGGGGAACAGGAGGCCAAAGGCCCCTCAACCAGCCCCTTCCCCGACGAATGAAACCAAACTATCTTTTTCCCCCAACTCCCTAGTTATTTCTGAGAAATATAAGCGTCTTAAACTAAATTAAGATTTGTTTAAGCCATTGCAATATAATCTGCTTGACAGGGAAAATTAGATTTCAGCCCTCTCTACCTTTCTACCCACCACTTATCAATATAAATAAATAAGACAAAAGTTTCTCAGTCATTGATAATATCAATATTATATCTATCTCCCTTAATGGTTCTTATTTTATCTTTAGTTCTTACTTGGAGTTTATTAACTCCAGAACAAATGAATTTCTATAGCCATCTGTGGAAACATCAACATTTCAACATGAACCTACATAATGAATATTCTGGCATAACTGGAAAGTGTACTTGATGAAGAGCTGGGGAACTGATGGAAAAGTCCAAAGTGCTCCTATTTAATGTAGGGTTTACTTGGTTTAAACCTCTAATTGATATTTACTAGGTATGTCACTTCTTAGAGGGTTGGAAAGATAGTTCCAAAGTCAATTAATACTTAAATGATACAACTCTACAGTATTCTCCAAGGACCATGCAGTTTTAATATCATAGGGGAGGTGATGTGTACCAAGATTGGCCTCAAAATGCCTGCAGAACCCAATAAATGCCACAGCCACAGAGCAATAAACCCTGGCTCCCCACACATCCAACAGAACCTATCTGCATAAGTAGCTCCTCTGGACGTTTTCAAGCTATGCCAAGATCAGAAGTACATGAAATCTTTCCGAACTCATAGAGAAGAATAATGTATTCTTTTCAAGTACTAGATAGAAATGGAGACTTTTCAAGGCTTGCTGGTTCAGGCTGCCAGGCTCATCAAGCTGTTTAAAGATTACTATTAAAACTCACATCTCAGGTTTGTGTAAGTAAACATACTTTAATAAAGTGGCACGAAATGGGAAATTCCCAAATATCATACTAGATAACAGAAAATGTTTCATTTGGAGAGAAAGATAAAATTATAATTTTATTCTAAAAAACCTTTTTTCTACTTACTCTCATTTTATTTCTCTCATTTTATTTCAAGGTTAAAACGAATCATGCTTTTAAAACTAAAGTTCTAAACTGAAGTTCTGGAAAACAGTTAAGAAGCCAACCTGACAGATGACTTTAATTTATGTAACAAGTATTTCCACTCACCACGCCTCCAAAATATTTTCCTATGTAGAAGTCGTCAAGGCTGTGCAGTTCCAGATAGGTGGCTCCTAGCTCTTTAGCAAGTTGGATCCCTTCTGTCGTACTGACACAGCTCCCTCTGTCCGAGGTACATAGTGGGCATGTGCAAGGTAATTCTTCTGAGAAAATGAATGTGAACAACAAAGAGCTTTGAATTTAAACAGGAGAATAATGTACATAGATGATCTGAACATTAAACAAATTAAGAGCTTACTTCAGAACCACGGTTCAAGGGTATTTAGTACATCCACAACCCACTAGACTCTGAATAAAAAGTGTCAATGATAATAGAAAGGACTCTAAAATAAACATGCTTACCTGCAAGAAAAAGTATTTTATAAAATAGAAGAATTTAGAAGTAGGTGAATGGATATTACAAAGGCTAATGCAGTAGTTAGACCACTGAGCCACTAATGGCCAGTCTGCTTCCTTTTATACAACCCTGACATCCTGGGTAGCAATAAAAATTTAACAACTTGATTACCCATAGAAACCATGGAAGACAGTGGGTTGACTCTTTTTTTGTGTTTGATAAACTTTAAATATATTCACCAAGTTTGAATAGATGTTATACTTTTATTTTAATAGAATCCTCAATTTGATCTGAATTTGCAAGGCTGCAAAATTGCCACTCTCTTTGTAGATTTCATAAAAAGTATATTCTTATTAATCCAGACATGACAATTTTAGACTCTACAGCATTCAATTGCAGAGGAAATTCAATAATTCTTTATCTTTTTCTTCAAGATTAAAAAATAAAAAAACTGAAGGAATAAAAGTATTTACTCAAAATGTGAACTGTCCCAATATTCATGGTTGTACCACATACAGAGCTATGACTAGGAAGGTGGCAGATAAGCCTTAATAAGGTGGCAACACTCCTTAATAAGTCTAAAAATGTATGTTCAACTCTATACTTGTCAGCTAGCTTTGTTTTGTTTCACACCAAAACATCAGATATGTCATTGTTCAAAGGCAGCCAAGTCAAAAGAGGGTAAATTCATTTCTGGAAATGCATATTATTGTAGGTTGGCTTCTCTGGGAAGCAAACTCTGAGACAGAGATTGGTGTGCAGGTTTACTTGGGGAGTGATCTTGGGAACAACTCTTTGCAGGAGTGAGGGAGGTAGGACTGGGCAGAGGAAAAATTCAAACTGCAATGTAGTTGCAACAGAGCCCTCAGTTGATCCTACAGGAGGCTCTGGAACTTAGATGGCCTTTAGAATGGTTCCCCATTTGGGAAGGCAGCTGGACCCTTGTAGTCCTCAATCTATCACTAATTAGAGGAGACCTGCCTCTGTGGAGGGGGCATAACTGGGCAAGCAGCTTCTATCAGCAGAGAATAATGCCTGGAGGACCCAGTTGTACACCATCAGCAGCCAACAAGCCCAGTCACTGAGAAAGTACAAAGGCCCTGAAAGGGCATTTGGGCAACTCCCCATAGCATACACAACAAACTTCGTACCAGTGAACTGTATGTGGATGGAGCACATATATGTATGTATAGGGTATATAGCAAGGATATTTAGTGCGCGTGCATAATATGTATGTAACTATACGTGTGTATGCATGCATAGATGACTTAGATAATTTTAGCTTCATTGAAAGCTTTTAGAGCTCAGAAACCATGTACACATTCACATCCTCGTTTTATAGAGGAGAGAACTGAGGTTCACAGAGGCTATGACTTGCCCAAGTCTCCTTGTATGTTAGAGATGGAGAAACAATAAAACTGTTACTTGTTCCAAGTGATAATGGGACATCAAAAAAATAAAAGAAAAATTTACTTTGGGTTAAGAATTACTGATTCCAAACAGATAGTGATTTGCAAATTAAGCCCAGATTCTCTACATTATGCCATAAATTCTGAGTTTTTACATTTACTTTTTCTAAGATCATTTTAGGCTTGGAGCAAATAAAGTTTTCATACAGAATTTAGCCTATCTTGAAAAATAACACATTGGTATCTCACATTCTTTACAAAACCTTCATAAACAGTGCCTTTGATTTTCTGAAGACAGAGGCCTTCTTATGTCTACAAAGCTCTCCTTATGTTGAAGGAATGGGGTGAGTAGGCAGATCATCTTATTAAACTTTATTTCTACACAAAAATCAAGCAAAGTCAGTAGTATTTCAAGTGAAAAATTAAGTGAACATAATGTAAAATCATCTTTAACAAATAACCTTGATTAAACGTAACTGTAGGTTTAATCCGGCTGAGCGGGGTTTCCATTGTGAGCAGCCATGAGCATCCTACTGGCACACACGCCTAGAAAGTGCCTCCTTATAGCCAAGCCTCATATTGCCTCTATGTCACAGAAGACATTTCTTTTTGTTCACACACACCCAAAAGGAAAAACGCCTAGTCATTATGTGTTGGGTAGAAGAACCAACAAAACACTTACGTACTACATAAATATTCATGGAACATTTCATCAGGAACAATCAGAGGACCCAAAATAATTTTGAACTATGGTGCCTTCTTCAGAAGCTCCCTCCTGTGAGCCTATTCCAGGGTCACAGGGACTCTGTGAATCAGAGTGTTATGTTTCTAGTTAAAACTATAGTTTTCTGTTTTTCTTATATATTGTCTTTTAAGGTGTTATCACAAAATGTCTATTTTAAAGTGAACACAGTGTAACTCTGGAATTCAAATGAATGGCATCTCCTCAAGCAGTGGCTTTGAGAACCTGTAGAGTGATTCTGACATTGTTGCCTATGCTTGAAACTTTAGAAATCCTTTTAAGAATACTAGCCTAGCAATGTACTAGGCTCTATCAGATATTCAAAAAGATAAGATGACAGGATGCCAATTTTCAGAAGCTGAAGGCTATGAATACACCCTAGGCATATTTGGAAAAAAATTTCTTCTTTAAAGACAGATTCAATATTTAGTAAAAGCCAAAAATTTATTCAGAGCCAAGAATGATGAAGATACACACTGTCAAGTTTGTCAAAACACGTGTAACAAAGGAAAAAGATGAGACTGATTGTGTTTGCTGAATTAATTCTAAAGAGATCAAGAGAGGAATTACCAGAACACCTAGCAGTTCCATGTATTCCAAGGGACTGGCAGGGGAGGGGGACAATAAATATCCTTGAGTTGAACAGCTAGATTTAGCTTCGTAATTACACTGTGATATCCTACAGGGTAAATTAATTTAGTCTTGGTAAAACTGATTTTTTTCACTTATGTATGTCATTCATAAAACCGTTTAATCACTTATTGAACAAATGTTTATTAAGCACCTACCATATTTCAAGTACTAGGGATATAGGTACACACAGATAAAAGAAATTTATAGTCAATTGAGCCAGGACAGACATGACTGCAAACAATTATAACATAATAAGTGCTAAAATAAAGGCGTACAAAATCAACCATGGGATCAAAAGAGAGAAAATTAACTCTGCCTGGAAGATTACGGAAGGCTTCATAAAAGAGGTAATAATTTAAAGGACAAATATGAATTTGCTATGCAGGTATGACGGGGGTATGCAAAGGGGCACTCCAATCAGACGATATAGCATATGCAGAGGCCTGGATGTGAGGAAAAAAAAAAAAGGAACACATTTACTTCCACTTTCAAGATGGCAAGCTAAGATCACAGTGCAATGTCTTCTTCCTGTCAAATCATGAAATGATGAAATAAAGAGAAGGAAGGAGGGGAAAAGGAAAAATGGGAGGGATGGGGGAAGGAGGAAGAGAGGGAACAAGGAAGGGAGATGTGCATATGCAGCACTACTCAAAAATCAGAAGAAAGATTCTTATCAGATGGTAGGAGTGCCTGAGAGGCTGAAGGTAGCTGGCACAGGACCAAAGAGGAAATCTAAAGCTCAGAGTCCAGGTGGGACGTCAAGTACTGCGCTGTGGCAACATCAGGCATGCTCACTGCTCAGTGATGGGGGTGGGGGAAAGGAAGAGGCCCAAGGGCAACCACCTGAAGATGAGCTGGAACACCCCAGTGATAGTGGCTGGGCCTGCAGATCCTGTGTGTACTCCCATTCCCACGCCCACTCCAGAGAGCGGGTGGGAGGAAGAGGAAGGCATCCATCCAACAGGGAATCTCAACTGCAAAACTAGGTAAATTAAGAATCATCCAACATTTGAGAAGCATCTATGAAATAAAAGCTCATCGAATGGAAAGACTTATAATGCCCCCCTCCAGACTTAATAGACCATTCGAAACAGAATCTTAAAATAAGTATAATTAATTGGCAGGTTTTTTTTTTTTTTTTAAGTATTTACATCCTTAAAACAAAAACAAGCAATTATGAAAAAAAATCAATTAGAGATCTTGGATATGAAAACTGTCAAAACAAGAAAAATAAAGCAAAGGGCAGAATGGGCCCAATGGAACTAATTTGTGAGCCGGAAAACAACCACCACCACCACCACAACAACACGACAACAAAAACCACAAGAAATTCTCCCATAATCCAACAGAGACAAATAAAAAGATAAGAAATTTAAAAGAGAAAAGGAGGAGAGATCCAGAAGTTTCAAATCAGTCTAGTAAGAGTCTCAAAGTAAGAGAACAGAGAATGGAGGGAAGGTGATATCTGAAGAAGTCAGAAAGTTGAACTTTCCCAGATCTAAAAAAAGACATCAAGTTCTTCAAGTAGTTCAGTGTGATGGGCATATAAAGCAGAGAGGATTGTGTCCAACAAAGTTCTAGAAGTAGTCAGGCGCTATAACACGAAGCACCTTGTATTTTAGGTAAGACTTTACAGTGGAAATTATTGAAGTAAAATACAAATACTGGATTGGAATAGAGGCATCAATGGATGGGAACCCATAATTTTTATATAAATATATACATATATGTATGTAAAAAACGTGTGTGTGTGTATATGTGTGTGTGTGTAGGACAAAAGATGGACACAGCCAGATGTAACCTCCCCTGACACACACACACACACACACACACACACACACAAAAAAACGTGTGTGTGTATATATGTGTGTGTGTGTGTGTGTGTGTGTGTATATATTGGAGAGAGCCATATACACACACAAAAGTATATATATATATATATATATACACGTATATATACACACATATATACACTTTTGTGTGTGTATATGGCTCTCTCCAATGAAAGGGCCTAGAAGCCAT